CCTAATCTATGGTGTGGATCTGTATAACAAAATAACACTAATTAAAAGAAGAATGACTAACATACCTTCGGCTAACACCAGAGCTGAGGTAAAGTACCTCTCCTATGGTTAGTACCAAACCTATCGTTTAGCACTTAGCATATGTCATCTGCACACGTATGATAGACCTACGGTAGGTAGCAAGCGCATGGTCAATTACATGGCATCTGTTTAGTATCAAACGAATAACGGTTATAACCAGACCTATGGTTCAGCACCAAGTTCAAACCCCTCGCTCTCCCTGTCCTCGCTCTCCCTGTCCTCGCTCTCCCTGTCCTCGCTCTCCCTGTCCTCGCTCTCCCTGTCCTCGCTCTCCCTGTGCTCGCTCTCCCTGTGCTCGCTCTCCCTGTGCTCGCTCTCCCTGTCCTCGCTCTCCCTGTCCTCGCTCTCCCTGTGCTCGCTCTCCCTGTGCTCGCTCTCCCTGTGCTCGCTCTCCCTGTGCTCGCTCTCCCTGTGCTCGCTCTCCATGTGCTCGCTCTCCATGTGCTCGCTCTCCCTGTGCTCGCTCTCCCTGTGCTCGCTCTCCCTGTGCCCGCGTCCCATGCAGGCTCACCAACGAGGGCAGGGAGAACTGGAGGGAGCAGCAGCAGATCGACGCGGTCATGGACATGTGGATCCTCAGCTTCAGGTACCTCAGCTTCAGGTACCTCAGCTTCAGGTACCTCAGCTTCAGGTACCTCAGCTTCAGGTACCTCAGCTTCAGGTACCTCAGCTTCAGGTACCTCAGCTTCAGGTACCTCAGCTTCAGGTACCTCAGCTTCAAGTACCTCAGCTTCAGGTACCTCAGCTTCAGGTACCTCAGCTTCAGGTACCTCAGCTTCAGGTACCTCAGCTTCAGGTGCCTCAGCTTCAGGTACCTCAGCTTCAGGTGCCTCAGCTTCAGGTGCCTCAGCTTCAGGTACCTCAGCTTCAGGTACCTCAGCTTCAGGTACCTCAGCTTCAGGTACCTCAGCTTCAGGTACCTCAGCTTCAGGTACCTGATCTCGCTGATGGCTTGAGTTCATAGAGGAATCCCGGAAGGCTCCATGCTGCAACACGAGAGCAAGTCGTAGCAGCAGCTGATCGCCGCTATCACGGACATGTGGATCCTCAGCTTCACGTACGCACCTTGTCCCTTTGAGCGGTTGCTGAGATTTCTCAAAGATTGAAGGAGGTTCTCACAGAGGCCGTGCCGCGACATGAGAACGGGCAAGAGCAACAGCTGATCGCCACTGCGTGTGGGCGTGTAGATTTAGCAGCATGTCTTTTTCGGGTGCATCCAACGTATGGAGGCGCTTTTACCAACCATCGAACATGGCAAGCCTTTTTACTTGTCATCAAACGTGTGAAGGCTTCCTTAGTATGCCGGAATTTTCATAGCAGAGGCTTGTACGCACACAGAGTGCTCATATAAAGGCGCAGGGTCTCATTTCCTTCACTCAGAATTTCATGTGAAAGTAACATTTTAAGGAAAAGCGCTTCGACTGAAAAATGTGCATCTCATAGCATGGCCATCACCGCCAGCCACAACATCGGTGAGCCTCCTCTTCACTCTCGCCCCCAGATCCCCCCCCATGAGAACACCCCCCCCCCTCCCCACTCTTTCCCCTGCTCGCCATTCCCGTCCCGTGCTGCCAGCGAACCTGTGCTAATGACGCACTCCCCACCCCTCACCCTACGCCCCTCACCCTACGCCCCTCACCCTTCGCCCCTCACCCTACGCCCCTCACCCTACGCCCCTCACCCTACGCCCCTCACCCTACGCCCCTCACCCTACGCCCCTCACCCTACGCCCCTCACCCTACGCCCCCACCCCTCACTCACCCACCACCCACCACCGCCGTTCTCCCTCCACCCATTCCCCCCACTGCCTCCCCGTGTTCCCCTGCGCCCGTGTTCCCCTGCGCCCGTGTTCCCCTGCGCCCGTGTTCCCCTGCGCCCTTGTTCCCCTGCCTGCAGCGACCGCCTGCTCATAACGCACATCTCGTCATTCGGCCGCACGGCACTGGGGCTGGCGGGCGTGGACGCATACTCGATGCAGATCACAGTGATCAAGATGCGCAGCGTGGACTGGCGCAATATGACAGGGCCCGTCTGCGAGCGCGTGTCGTCGGAGCCTTGTGACACCATGGGGGTTCCGGTCATACAAGTGAGTGAATGTTGATGCATGCCTGGTTGGACCAGTGCCTGTTGATGTTGGCTGGCGCTGCTGACCCTCCCCTTGGGGTTCTGAATGGCCGAGAGCCCATTTAAGAAAGGGTGTTCTCTGCGTGAGAGGCAAGTGAGAGCTCTGCAGGCTGCAACACCATGGGGGCTCCGGTCAGATGGTGCATGGGAGGTACACGAGTGAGAGGGGGTGCGGTGGGCGAGTGAGAGGGGGTGCGGTGGGCAAGTGAGAGGGGGTGCGGTGGGCGAGTGAGAGGGGGTGCGGTGGGCGAGTGAGAGGGGTTGCGGTGGGCGAGTGAGAGGAGGTGCGGTGGGCGAGTTAGAGGGGGTGCGGTGGGCGAGTGAGAGGGGGTGCGGTGGGCGAGTGAGAGGGGGTGCGGTGGGCGAGTGAGAGGGGGTGCGGTGGGCGAGTGAGAGGGGGTGCGGTGGGCGAGTGAGAGGGGGTGCGGTGGGCGAGTGAGAGGGGGGTGCGGTGGGCAAGTGAGAGGGGGTGCGGTGGGCGAGTGAGAGGGGGTGCGGTGGGCGAGTGAGAGGGGGTGCGGTGGGCGAGTGAGAGGGGGTGCGGTGGGCAAGTGAGAGGGGGTGCGGTGGGCGAGTAAGAGGGGGGTGCGGTGGGCGAGTAAGAGGGGGGTGCGGTGGGCGAGTGCGAGGGCCCTGCAACACCCTGGGGGCTCTGGTCATAATGGTACGTGCGAGACCGCTGAGAAGGGTGCTGATAGGCAATGCAGGGGGATGCGTGTTTGGGGGGTGTGTGCCATGCTCCCTTGATCTAATTTCTCACTTAGCTCGTGAGAGTCAGCTCAGAAGCAAATTCTTCTGCTCGCCATCAAGTGTCCGCCGTAAGAGAGTGGCATAACAGTTGTTCACTTACACATTCATCCCTACTTTTGTGTGTTCCTGTTGATTTTCATGCATATCCTCTCAAAGTAATCAGTTACACATGTATGTACACTGCTTGTTATACCTGTCGTAGTCCTTTCCTTACCCTTGTTCTCGTGCAGAGCTTGTGCAGGTGGGACGTAGTAGACCGACGTTTAGCTTGGGTCTTGTGCATGTCGCATGTAGAATCACCAGTTATGTGTTTACTTCAATATCATGTACTGTATACTTTCCCATGTGCGGTCCGCTCCGTTCCCTTTCTTTTCTCTTGGGCAGAGCGGGTGCAGGTGGGATTTCAATCGCAGTGGATTAGTGCATGGGCAGCAGAGGCCACCAGGATTCGGCTTCTGCCCGGGAATGGTTTTTGGCGTGCAGGACCTCAACCCGCTGCTGCATCCTCTCACACAACAATGACCATAACATGGCGCATATAAATAGGACTTGGTATGTGTGTCAAAACGTTTACTGTACACCATTTCCAAATAAACGTTTCCCACCTTGATCTTCTTGACCCTGAGCTATATAGTCGGTACTGTACCCGAACTGGCATATTTGGGTTGGGTTGGGTGAGACATAATTAAGGAACGTGTTTGTTGCCAATACCCACACTGAGATGGAGCCGTCTGAGTTGGTCTTGATGCGGTACACCCATTTCCCCGAGAGAACGTTCTTCCCGTTGATGCTCGTTGCAGGTACCAGTTTCCATGTTTCTCGGTCTTGCAGAGCTTTTAACTCCTTTTCCATCGCTTCTTTCCATTTTGCCTTATGTTCCCCCCCCAGAGCCTGCGACAAGGTTGAAGGCTCACGCGTAGAAGGCGGCGGCGGATGCTGGACGGAGACCCAGAGGCCTAGAACCTGGAGTCCTGTGGGTGTGTGTCGAGGGGAATTGTCATTCCCCGAATAAGCTGCTTCGTCACCGTCTTCGGGGTCAGGTAAGAAATTGGGGCCGATGCGTTCCGAAATATTCGTGTCGACGGGGTGCGGTGTAGCGTAACCTTGGTCGGCGAAGTGGTAAAAGGTGTCGAGGTTGTTGCTATCGAGGGGATTATCTTCATCGAGTGGAACAGGTATGGAACAGAATGGGAGTGGCCCGGCAGCTTCCGAGGCTCCAGGTACGTCTTCTTCTGCTGCGTCAGCCACGGCAGCATGGTCAGCGAAGGAGCGAAGGCCCGCGAAGCCGTCGGTGGGGTCGTCTGAGTTGGCAATGTTGTCCAGGTAATGCTGCAGCGTCAGTCGCTCGTAGAAGATAACATCACGTGATGCCACCGTATTTTTGTCTTGTATGTCGAGGATCTTCCACGCGTGAAAATGTTTGGCGATGCCGAGGTGTAGTCCCCACCGAGCTCGTTGAGTGAAGCGTCCTGCTCGAGCTGTGTGGGGTCTGTATTGTACCATGCAGCCGAAAACTCGAAGTAATTTTGTGCTGCCCCTTTTTCCCGTCCACAGCAGGTGTGGTGATGCGTTGTTGGGGAGCGATGACGAGGACAACAGGTTGTGCAGGTGGACTGCATGTGTCATCGCGTCTGGCCACAGTGCGTTGGGCAGCCTCATCCCCAGAAGCAGTTTTCGCATCGTCGTCTGCAAGGTCCGGTTCATGCGTTCTGCTACCCCCTGCTGCTGGTGAGCATAGGGCAGAGACACCAGGCGTCGGATTCCCCTTTCCGCGAGATAGGTCCTGAAGCGTTGTGACTGGTATTCCAGTGCACCGTCTGACTGGAAACTCTTGAGTTTGGTTCCTGACTCTCGTTCGGCGATTGGAAGCCATGTGGTGAATGCCTCGAAGGCTTGATCGCGCGTTTTGAGATTGAAGTGCCAGACGTATCTGGTTGCGGCGTCGATGAACGTGATGACGTAGTTGAAGTCGGCTTCGGTGTCGTCTCGAGGCATGTTTAGAATATCGCTGTAGACCTTTTCCATCGGAGCGTAAGTGGGTGCGCTTGGATTGTGATGGGCTGGGAAAGGTTGATGAGGAAGATCTGCTTCGGGGCATGTGAAACACCGTGCGCGTGGTCGTCGGAGTTCCTGGCCGTTCGTCGTCAGAAGGGCGTTGCGTTCTAACACTTCTGCTTGGATTGTTTGAAGTATCGTGCTGTTTGCAGGATGTCCGAGACGTTGGTGCCAGATGTCGTCGGGAGCGCGGTGACCGGGCGAGCGGTGGTAGATGTCGGCGTTGGAGAAGAACGCGACGACCGAGGCGGGACTTCGACAAGCTTCTCGTGTGGCGAGCATAAGTTGGTCTGCTTCGGTTGGCTGTCCTCGTGTCGCTGGTGGTGGTACTCGGCTGGGTCCTGCTGCCGATACTGCAGGTGATGGTTTTGTTGGGACACATGCGGGTACTTGTCTTTCTTGTCTGATAACTGCTAATGCTCGTGTTCTTTCTGCTGCAGGTATGGTGTTGGAGTGCCAGAAGCCGTCGCTGTCGAAGTCGGGATCAAGATCTGGCGGATGAGTCCAGGCGGCGAAGGATACGATACCGTCGCTGTCGGCAGTTCCGCGGTCGGGGACGAAGTCCAACACGAAGACACCGGACTTCAGGAGGGCACGACCGATGAAGAGACCGCCCTTCCCGTGGTAAAGTCGGAACTCGTTGGAGAAGGAGTCGCACTCCAGGTGAATCCCCTTAGCCATTAGTTGGCTTACGCTTAATAGGTTGTATCCCAGATTGTCGACGATGAGGACCTTGTTGAGCTGAAGAATAACGTTTGTCTCCATTGATTGTAACTGAACCACGCCTTGTCTATTTGTTTTCAGGTTTTCGTTGTTGGCGACGGTGATGACGACGTCACGGTTGAGGCGTCGCTCGTGTTGTACGAAGCGTCCGGAGGAGCACATGTGCTGACCGCAGCAACTGTCCAAGAACCAGGTGTTCCGCCCGGTGGGTTCGGCGTTAGCGACTGCAGCGTATGTCGGGTTGACCTGAAGTCCTTGCGAGCGCGGCGGCGGGAATTCCTCTTCGTCTGGTGCGTAAGTGGGTGGTGAAGCGGGTGCGCAGTTGTCGATGTGTACCATGCAGTTGATGATGTTGGGTGTTTGTTGTGCAGATGTTGAAGAGCGCCTTGGAGGACTTGCTTGAGTGGAAGCGACTTGTGGGTCTGCTGCACGGTAAACGCGAGGGCGGTTGCAGTTGACCTTGGAGTGCCCGGAAGTCTGACAGTTGTGGCAGAACGGCGGCACGATGGTGAGTCCTCGGTTGTCACGTTGATCTTGCTTGCTGCGTCGGTTGTAGTTGTTGTCATTTCTTCTTTGAGTGTAGAAGACTAACTGCTGTTGCTTCCTTGGTTGTCTTTCCTCGAACAGATCCATCTCCTGTTGTTCAGCGTGAAGCTCGGCGCAGAGGTGCATCTCCGAAATTCTTCCGTGGGCTCGAAGAAGTGATCGTGTGGTTCTCCATTCTGGCCCGAGCCCGGCGAGGACAAGTGTCACGAAGCTTTCTTCAGTGATCGTTCCTCCGCACCGAAGCAGGCGGTCGCGGAGGGTCTGGCAGCGACTCATATACTGCATCGCCTTTTCCCCGGTCTTCATCTGTATTGTTGTCAGCTGTTGCATGAGTCTGCTTTGTGTCACGCTGTCGTTTGCTTGGTAAAGGCATTTGAGGTGGTGCCATGCGAGCTCCGCGGAGTTTCCATAACTCCGATACGTTCTGATGCTCTGCTGCTCTTGTGGTGACAGGTTTCTCAGGAGTACCGTGTACGCCAGCAGCGACTGATACGTGAAGATCTCTTGTTCCTTCCCAGTGCCGTTGCTTGGGAATGGCAGGGACCCGTTGAAGTATCCCAGAAGATGCGCGGCCTCCATCAGCAGCTCGAACTCGAAGCTCCAGGTAAAGAAGTCGTGTCCGTTGAACGGTGAGGATGTCTGAAGTTTGATCACGTGTGAGAACTGCGCCTGTAAACTTAAGATTTCATTCGGTGTTTGTTGTGAAGCAGCTGCTGTTGGCTGGGCACGGGGCGGCATGAATTCGAACGTCCCCGGCGAAGAATGATAAGGCGCAAAGGTAGGCGCTTGATTGTGTCGCCCGAAGGATGAGTTGTCGAGGCTCATCGGCGCTAATCCCATATTCCCTCCATTGCTCTGTGTTGAGTGCGCAGGTGTCCTTGTCTGCTGCTGCTGATCGAAGTGTGACATGAAGCTGAAGAATCTCTCCATGAGATTCGGGTCCACACTTGAAGAGGGAGACGGGGTCACCATCTCTGGTACTCTTCCCGTTGTTTCTTGAGCAGTCCCGGTCTCTGTCTGCAGTCCTGAGGTGTGCAGACCAGAGTTGCCGTGTTGAGTTTCTTGGGCGCTGGGTGAGCCCGTAGAGACTTTCTTGCCCTTGTTGTCCATGTCTTGTAATCAATGAAGTCGTTGAATTGAGTTGAGTTGCAGGTTGTTGATAGGACGTAGTTGCTGGGAGTTTGGTCTCTGACCAGCTCTCATACCATGTGGGGCTGAGAAAAACCCTTTAGGATCTTTTGCAGAGACTAAGTCCCAGCTGTAAAGACTTGAGACTTGGAGTAGTGCAGCGGAAGTTGAGGCAGTTGAACCCTTGTACTAGTATGTGAGAACAAGTGATTGATTAAAGAAACAAGCATATCGCCCTGCGGTACTTCTTCGTCAAGGATGAAATCGCGAAGGGGAGACTTCAACTCAGTTACTGCCCGACGACAGAAATGGCCGAGATTATCTGACGAAGAAATTGGCGAAAGCAAAATTCGACTACTGCATGCTCCTAACCGGGCAAACAAACGCCACCGGATCTGAACACTCCAGCACTCCAGAAACGAAGGGAGTGTTGGAAATATCTCAAGGACTTAAGCGTTTCTGAAGTGTAACACTGTACTCGAGGAAGATTACAGGGGAGCACGCGAGTCAACGGAGGTTACACGAGGGGGCGGACAAAGAATGCGAAAGGACTCGAAAGGTCGCAACTGGAGGTTGCGACTGACCGTTACAACATCACGGATGGTAACCGAAGCGGCAATCGAGTCGCTGTGCGACTCGATAAACCGTTCCTGTAACTGTATTCTACAACTGCTTTCTTATCTACTATATATTGCTGTATGCTTGTTTCTTTAATCAATCACTTGTTCTCACATACTAGTACAAGGGTTCAACTGCCTCAACTTCCGCTGCACTACTCCAAGTCTCAAGTCTTTACAGCTGGGACTTAGTCTCTGCAAAAGATCCTAAAGGGTTTTTCTCAGCCCAACATGGTATGAGAGCTGGTCAGAGACCAAACTCCCAGCAACTACGTCCTATCAACAACCTGCAACTCAACTCAATTCAACGACTTCATTGATTACAAGACATGGACAACAAGGGCAAGAAAGTCTCTACGGGCTCACCCAGCGCCCAAGAAACTCAACACGGCAACTCTGGTCTGCACACCTCAGGACTGCAGACAGAGACCGGGACTGCTCAAGAAACAACGGGAAGAGTACCAGAGATGGTGACCCCGTCTCCCTCTTCAAGTGTGGACCCGAATCTCATGGAGAGATTCTTCAGCTTCATGTCACATTTCGATCAGCAGCAGCAGACAAGGACACCTGCGCACTCAACACAGAGCAATGGAGGGAATATGGGATTAGCGCCGATGAGCCTCGACAACTCATCCTTCGGGCGACACAATCAAGCGCCTACCTTTGCGCCTTATCATTCTTCGCCGGGGACGTTCGAATTCATGCCGCCCCGTGCCCAGCCAACAGCAGCTGCTTCACAACAAACACCGAATGAAATCTTAAGTTTACAGGCGCAGTTCTCACACGTGATCAAACTTCAGACATCCTCACCGTTCAACGGACACGACTTCTTTACCTGGAGCTTCGAGTTCGAGCTGCTGATGGAGGCCGCGCATCTTCTGGGATACTTCAACGGGTCCCTGCCATTCCCAAGCAACGGCACTGGGAAGGAACAAGAGATCTTCACGTATCAGTCGCTGCTGGCGTACACGGTACTCCTGAGAAACCTGTCACCACAAGAGCAGCAGAGCATCAGAACGTATCGGAGTTATGGAAACTCCGCGGAGCTCGCATGGCACCACCTCAAATGCCTTTACCAAGCAAACGACAGCGTGACACAAAGCAGACTCATGCAACAGCTGACAACAATACAGATGAAGACCGGGGAAAAGGCGATGCAGTATATGAGTCGCTGCCAGACCCTCCGCGACCGCCTGCTTCGGTGCGGAGGAACGATCACTGAAGAAAGCTTCGTGACACTTGTCCTCGCCGGGCTCGGGCCAGAATGGAGAACCACACGATCACTTCTTCGAGCCCACGGAAGAATTTCGGAGATGCACCTCTGCGCCGAGCTTCACGCTGAACAACAGGAGATGGATCTGTTCGAGGAAAGACAACCAAGGAAGCAACAGCAGTTAGTCTTCTACACTCAAAGAAGAAATGACAACAACTACAACCGACGCAGCAAGCAAGATCAACGTGACAACCGAGGACTCACCATCGTGCCGCCGTTCTGCCACAACTGTCAGACTTCCGGGCACTCCAAGGTCAACTGCAACCGCCCTCGCGTTTACCGTGCAGCAGACCCACAAGTCGCTTCCACTCAAGCAAGTCCTCCAAGGCGCTCTTCAACATCTGCACAACAAACACCCAACATCATCAACTGCATGGTACACATCGACAACTGCGCACCCGCTTCACCACCCACTTACGCACCAGACGAAGAGGAATTCCCGCCGCCGCGCTCGCAAGGACTTCAGGTCAACCCGACATACGCTGCAGTCGCTAACGCCGAACCCACCGGGCGGAACACCTGGTTCTTGGACAGTTGCTGCGGTCAGCACATGTGCTCCTCCGGACGCTTCGTACAACACGAGCGACGCCTCAACCGTGACGTCGTCATCACCGTCGCCAACAACGAAAACCTGAAAACAAATAGACAAGGCGTGGTTCAGTTACAATCAATGGAGACAAACGTTATTCTTCAGCTCAACAAGGTCCTCATCGTCGACAATCTGGGATACAACCTATTAAGCGTAAGCCAACTAATGGCTAAGGGGATTCACCTGGAGTGCGACTCCTTCTCCAACGAGTTCCGACTTTACCACGGGAAGGGCGGTCTCTTCATCGGTCGTGCCCTCCTGAAGTCCGGTGTCTTCGTGTTGGACTTCGTCCCCGACCGCGGAACTGCCGACAGCGACGGTATCGTATCCTTCGCCGCCTGGACTCATCCGCCAGATCTTGATCCCGACTTCGACAGCGACGGCTTCTGGCACTCCAACACCATACCTGCAGCAGAAAGAACACGAGCATTAGCAGTTATCAGACAAGAAAGACAAGTACCCGCAAGTGTCCCAACAAAACCATCACCTGCAGTATCGGCAGCAGGACCCAGCCGAGTACCACCACCATCACACGAGGACGCCAACCGGAAGCAGACCAACTTATGCCCGCCACACGAGAAGCTTGTCGAAGTCCCGCCTCGGTCGTCGCGTTCTTCTCCAACGCCGACATCTACCACCGCTCGCCCGGTCACCGCGCTCCCGACGACATCTGGCACCAACGTCTCGGACATCCTGCAAACAGCACGATACTTCAAACAATCCAAGCAGAGGTGTTAGAACGCAACGCCCTTCTGACGACGACGGCCAGGAACTCCGACGACCACGCGCACGGTGTTTCACATGCCCCGAAGCAGATCTTCCTCATCAACCTTTCCAAGCCCATCACAATCCAAGCGCACCCACTTACGCTCCGATGGAAAAGGTCTACAGCGATATTCTAAACATGCCTCGAGACGACACCGAAGCCGACTTCAACTACGTCATCACGTTCATCGACGCCGCAACCAGATACGTCTGGCACTTCAATCTCAAAACGCGCGATCAAGCCTTCGAGGCATTCACCACATGGCTTCCAATCGCCGAACGAGAGTCAGGAACCAAACTCAAGAGTTTCCAGTCAGACGGTGCACTGGAATACCAGTCACAACGCTTCAGGACCTATCTCGCGGAAAGGGGAATCCGACGCCTGGTGTCTCTGCCCTATGCTCACCAGCAGCAGGGGGTAGCAGAACGCATGAACCGGACCTTGCAGACGACGATGCGAAAACTGCTTCTGGGGATGAGGCTGCCCAACGCACTGTGGCCAGACGCGATGACACATGCAGTCCACCTGCACAACCTGTTGTCCTCGTCATCGCTCCCCAACAACGCATCACCACACCTGCTGTGGACGGGAAAAAGGGGCAGCACAAAATTACTTCGAGTTTTCGGCTGCATGGTACAATACAGACCCCACACAGCTCGAGCAGGACGCTTCACTCAACGAGCTCGGTGGGGACTACACCTCGGCATCGCCAAACATTTTCACGCGTGGAAGATCCTCGACATACAAGACAAAAATACGGTGGCATCACGTGATGTTATCTTCTACGAGCGACTGACGCTGCAGCATTACCTGGACAACATTGCCAACTCAGACGACCCCACCGACGGCTTCGCGGGCCTTCGCTCCTTCGCTGACCATGCTGCCGTGGCTGACGCAGCAGAAGAAGACGTACCTGGAGCCTCGGAAGCTGCCGGGCCACTCCCATTCTGTTCCATACCTGTTCCACTCGATGAAGATAATCCCCTCGATAGCAACAACCTCGACACCTTTTACCACTTCGCCGACCAAGGTTACGCTACACCGCACCCCGTCGACACGAATATTTCGGAACGCATCGGCCCCAATTTCTTACCTGACCCCGAAGACGGTGACGAAGCAGCTTATTCGGGGAATGACAATTCCCCTCGACACACACCCACGGGACTCCAGATTCTAGGCCTCTGGGTCTCCGTCCAGCATCCGCCGCCGCCTTCTACGCGTGAGCCTTCAACCTTGTCGCAGGCTCTGGGGGGGAACATAAGGCAAAATGGAAAGAAGCGATGGAAAAGGAGTTAAAAGCTCTGCAAGACCGAGAAACATGGAAACTGGTACCTGCAACGAGCATCAACGGGAAGAACGTTCTCTCGGGGAAATGGGTGTACCGCATCAAGACCAACTCAGACGGCTCCATCGAACGATTCAAAGCTCGATGGGTCGTACGAGGCTTCGATCAACGATACGGAACCGACTACACAGAAACCTTCGCCCCAGTCTCCCGTCACACCTCATTACGCATCCTACTCGCCGTCGCGGCCACAAAAACACTACCACTACGCCAAATTGATGTCGCGAATGCGTTCCTATACGCACCTGTGGACGCTGAGATCTTCGTCGAACAACCCCACGGATTCATCGACGACCCCACGAAAATATGCCGACTGACAAAATCCCTATACGGGATCAAGCAAGCCCCGCGGCTCTGGCAGCAGCATCTTGTTAGGATTAAGGACGGAGTCTAGGTGAACTTAGGAGCTAGAATTACTCAAAATATAAATCCGAAATTCTGGACAGAAAAGTCGTCTTCACAAGAAACGACGTCGACGAAAACCTAGCCGTTGGAATGTCGCGAAACTTGGATATGTTGTAGCTCTTTATCTCAGCTACCGTTCCCAATTTGAATCATGTTGATTGATGAAGTATTCGCGACGCTATGGCTTTCGACGCATTAGGGGGTAAGCTGTAGGAGGAGAACTTAACTCAATCTCAAAGATTCAATCAAAGTTCAAGAATCTCACAAGGAATTAGAAGGAGCAAGAGAAAGGTTGGGATAGGAAGAGAGGGATGAGAGGGAAGGTCCCAAGAGAGTCCCCAACCAAGGAAACCCCATAAGCACAAAGATTCCCTCCCTATAGGAACCTCAACTTTGACCTTTGTCCCTTCCCAACCAATCCATCCAAGTTGGCCACCCTTGCCAACCTAGCTTGGTTGTTCCCAACCTATTTGCAGCTGTTACAGTAGAGTGACAAGTTTCCCCAACCCCAAAGGTCCCAACTCCATATAAAGTCACCCCACAACTTCACTTAGTAACCGCCGCAATTGTAACGCAAGCTCATGAACTTTGAATCTTCATAGCTTTCGCGTTCTTGCTCCGATTGAAGCGATTCTTGTTGCGTCGGAAAGATCTTCTCAAGATCTATCATCACAAATACCTGCTCAAACAAAAATAACACAGAACACATTCCCAAACTCCAGAACACACACCACACAAATGCTTGCACATTCAAACCACACATGCAAGTTGAAAACATGGGATGGGAGGCAGACAGAATGTGATAGCATATGATGACATCACACAACAATCTCCCCCTCTGGCTGCCAACCATCATCCACCATACCACATCTCAAGCATGCATACTCAATGCACACTCATCCCAGCAAGCTTCATGCCCTTCCAATGATCCGCCTCCGCCAGACGCTTGGTGAAAATATCTGCTGCCTGCTGATGGGTCTTCACTATCTCCAGCCGCACCTCCTTATCAAGGAGTCTCCTCACCCAATGCCACTTAGGCCTTATGTGTTTTGTCAGCCCATGCAGACAAGCATTCTTGGCGAGCTTCACAGCGGACTCATTGTCACAAAACACAACTGTCGGCTTCTCCTGACCAACTCCCAACTCCTCCAACAAGCGCCTCAGCCACACCACTTCCTTGGCCCCATGGTGTAAGGCCATGTACTCAGTCTCACATGAGGACAATCCCACCTCATTCTGCTTCTTGCTGCGCCAGCTCACAGCACCACCTCCTAGCAAGCACACATATCCCCCAATGCTGGTGCCATCCGCTTTCACTGAGTTGAAGCTAGCGTCAGTATAGCAACTCAAGAGCATCTCTCCACTCTTCACATCTGCAGCACCTCTCTGCAACCGCTGCCTCACTCCACTGTACTCCAATCCCACTGATGCCGTAGCACTCACATAGCGGACCAACCTCTTGGCCGCTTCCAGCTGCTCATGACTAGGGCGTGAGACCACACTAGCCAACCGTGATGTAGAAAATGCAATGTCAGGCCGTGTATGATTTGCAGCATAACTCAGCGACCCAACCATCGAATGAAACAGCTTCCTGTCACTCTCACCCACTACCTCCTCATCAGCACATGGCTCCACAGTAAACCCTGAAGGTAGTGGTGTTGCTGGCTTTCCCCCATCTTGCAGCCCATACTTCTCAGCCAGCCCCTCACAGTACTTCCTCTGGTGCAACCTCAGCACACCCTTCTCCACATCTCTCTCCACATGCATCCCCAAGTAGTACTTCACCTCACCCATCTTGGAACACTTGAACTGCATCTCTAGCATCTGCTCTGCGCTGTCCAGCAAAGCAGTTGATGCAGAAAAGAGAAGGATATCATCCACGTACACCAAGAGCATGAGGATTTCATCCTTCTCCTGCAGCAGGAACAGGCTGGGGTCACACTCACTCTTCTTGAAACCCCCAGCCAACAGCGCCTCCTCCAACTTGTGATACCATGCACGAGGCGCCTGCTTAAGGCCATAGATGGCCTTCTTCAGCCTGCAGACCCTGCCGCTCCCATCATCCAGCCCCTCTGGCTGCTTCATATACACCTCCTCCAGAATGATCCCATTCAGAAAGGCAGTCACAATGTCCATCTGCCGTATCTTCCATCCCAGGAGTGCAGCTATCGCCAACAGCACCCTCAGTGTTGTTCCTTTCCCCACAGGAGCAAACACCTCATCATAGTCCTTCCCTTTTGTCTGCTGAAACCCCCTTGCCACAAGCCTAGACTTGTAGCGGGTCAGCTCCCCTTCAGGTCCATACTTGTGCCTGTAGATCATCTTGGAAGTGATTGCCTTCTTCCCAGGAGGCAAGTCACACAGGTCCCATGTCTCGTTTTCAATCAGGGACCCGAACTCCTCATCCTCACTCGCCTTCCACTTCTCCCCATTTGGTCCATTCAAGGCCTCTTCTCGAGTCTTGGGCTCAGGGATTGGTGCCCAGTAGCAGTGAGCGATCTCATCTTCCTCAATCTGCTCAACCACACTCCCAGCCTGCACCACATTTGGCTTGCCTCTTCCCCCATAGGTCAGCCTCACAGGAGGGCGCACATCCCTCCTAGGTCGCTCAGGCGGCTGTGGAACTCGAGGTGGAGACTCATGTTGCTGTTGCTGCTCCACTTCAGCTGCTCCCCCTTCTTCAGTCACCCCAGATATCTCCTCCTCAGACACTGCAACCTCCACCTGCCTTGAAGGCTGCTGCAACTCATCTGCCTCCACAATGAGTGGTGTAGATGGAAGCTTCTGTTGCTGCTGCTTCCATTCCTTATAGTACAGGGACTCAAGAAACTTCACATCCCTTGACACTGTCAGCTTCTGGATGGTCAAGTCCCATAGAAGCCATCCCTTGTGATCCTTTGCAATCCCCAAGTGCACACCCCATCTTCCAGAAGCCTCCAACTTCCCCCTTTTCTCCTTAGGCACATGAAACACCACCATGCACCCAAATGCCCTCAGCATGTTCACAGCTGGAGCACTCCCATACCACTTGACATATGGGATCCACTCCTTATCTCCAACTGTAGCCAGCACCCTGTTCTTCACAAGGGCGACCTGCCTCAGTGCAGACACCCAAAATGGATCAGGCAGCCCTGCACGCCCAAGGAGAGTGCGTGCCCCCTCCTGCAGGGTCCTGTTGAACCTCTCAGCCACGCCATTCTGCTGCGGGTTGTAGGGCACTGTCAGTTGATGCTGGATCCCCTTCCTCTTCAACTCCCCCTCAAAATCAGCTCCAATGAACTCCCCACCATTGTCACTACGGATCACCTTCACCTTGTGTCCGCATTCCCTCTGAGCTCTCGGCATCCACTCCTTAAGGACAGCCGCTGCCACCTCCCCCTTGCTCTTCAAAGGGTAAACCCACACTGCCCGAGTGTGGTCATCCACAATTGTCAAGAAATAGCGGCTACCTGAGAGGGAAGGGGCTCTTGTGGGCCCCACCACATCCATGTGCACAAGTGCAAGTGGGGTCTTGGCTGGTCCTGTAGTGCTGTTGAAGGGGAACTTGGAGAACTTGGTCTCCAAGCATGTAGGGCAGCTCCCAATCTCCTTCACTTCCCCTTTCACCTCCAAGCCCTTCAGGCTCCCATTCTTCACCAACTTCTGCAGCATAGGGAAGTTCACATGACACAACCTCTCATGCCATGTCTCCCAATCGGCCTCTCCACTCCTTGATGAAGCCTTAGCCCATGCCGCACTCGCATCCACACCAGCAAGCACCTCACCATGTGTCTGCTGCTTCTGCACTTTCTTGACTGCTTCCAGGACCCCATCAGTTGGTGCAGTTGCATCTCCTCCTGCTGTTGCCTTTGCCGCTGCTGCCGTTGCTGCTGTTGGAGTCTTCCCATTCCAAGGGATGATGGGCAGCTGCCACAGGTCCTTGATGCAGCTGGTCTCCTCTTCCAGACTCCACAGCACCTTCTTCCCAAGCTTAGCACGGCAGCTGGTTGGTCCAAAGGTCACTTCGGCCTTGCTCTTCTGCAGTCGCCGCACAGAGAGAAGGTTAGCAGACAAACCTTCAACTAGCAGAACATTCCCAAGCCCCACAAGCTCCCCATTAGCTCCCTTAACCTTGGCATTCCCAAAGCCAATCACAGGGAGCAAAGCACCTGACGCTGCTGCCACATACTTGATCTTCCCAAGGGGTTTTACCTCATCAAGCAAATCTGCCCGTGGGGTCATGTGACTGGTGCACCCTGAATCAATCATCCAGTGTGTGAGAGGGTGCATCACAACCTTTCCCACTGATACCACATCACCCTCATGTCCATGCACATCCTCAACCATAACAAACAAACCAGGATAGGCATTACCTTGTGCACCTTCACCTTGTGCACCTGAGCCTTGCACAGCGCCACCTTGTGCGCGTTCACCACTGGGCGGCTTCATGCCTGGAGGTGCCCATCCCTCCGGCCTGCTGAAGCACTTGAACCAAGGATGCCCGACCTTCTTGCAGTACCAGCAGGTGCCCTCCATTCTGGTACTCCCCCTGCCACCAGAGCTCCCATGCCCCTCATTATAGTCACCTCGGCCTCTACCTCTGCCAAAGCTCCTCCCACGGCCTCGGCCTTTCCAACCCCCTCTTCCTCTGCCGCGCCCTGCAGCTCCATACCCCTCAGCAGTCTTAGTGGCAGCACCGCCTCCCACATGGCGTCTGCGGAAGTCCTCCTGCAGAATCTGCTGCCTTAGCCACTCAGGTGTCCATTGATCTTGCTGAGAGTTGAGGGTGGGGATGAGGTTATCCCACGAGTTGTCCAACACCGAGATGATCTTGGTGCACTGCTGCAGCTGAGATACACTGCTGCCCGCTGCTGCCATCCTTGCATAGGTGTCCTTGATCTTGTCAAGGACCGGCTTCACATCGTCCCCTGGTCGCATGGAGATGGCAGCAAGTTCCTTCTCGAGCACGATCACCATCAGGAGAGTGTTGGGCTGAATCACATCGCGTAGTAGTTTCCACGCCCTTGGACCCGAATCATCCGCTTCCACAAGATCCTTGATGTGCTCGAACATCTCCTTGTTGACCGATTGAAGGATGAGGTCGAAAAGCACCGTGCTTTTCTCAATCCACCGTTCACGTGCTTCGCCTTCTTCCGGCATCTTCTCTTCCCCAACAGCAATCTTCAGTAGCTTGTAGCGTTTGAAGGCACTTCTCATCCGTCCGCTCCATTCCTCATAGTTGGAGCCATCCAAAGCTTCAACTTTTGATGGCGGCGGCTCACTTGTCTTCTCAGCTACAGCTCCTCTTCCATTAGCATCTCCTCCTCTCTCATTCATCTTCTCCTTGAGAAATGACGAATTTCAGCCCCCCTTTGCTGTCCACACTCAGCTCCCTCGATATTTTCACAAGTGTCGGCGTCCACGAAATTTCGGCAGAGTTTCCCTTAGCGGAAGACACATCCAACCTTTAGAACACCACTTAGGCACACCCACAGGCCATGGTGGGTCTAGAAGGGTCTTCACACTTCTGTAGACTCCTCTCAACGTCCTTAATACAGCTCTGATACCACTTGTTAGGATTAAGGACGGAGTCTAGGTGAACTTAGGAGCTAGAATTACTCAAAATATAAATCCGAAATTCTGGACAGAAAAGTCGTCTTCACAAGAAACGACGTCGACGAAAACCTAGCCGTTGGAATGTCGCGAAACTTGGATATGTTGTAGCTCTTTATCTCAGCTACCGTTCCCAATTTGAATCATGTTGATTGATGAAGTATTCGCGACGCTATGGCTTTCGACGCATTAGGGGGTAAGCTGTAGGAGGAGAACTTAACTCAATCTCAAAGATTCAATCAAAGTTCAAGAATCTCACAAGGAATTAGAAGGAGCAAGAGAAAGGTTAGGAAGAGAGGGATGAGAGGGAAGGTCCCAAGAGAGTCCCCAACCAAGGAAACCCCATAAGCACAAAGATTCCCTCCCTATAGGAACCTCAACTTTGACCTTTGTCCCTTCCCAACCAATCCATCCAAGTTGGCCACCCTTGCCAACCTAGCTTGGTTGTTCCCAACCTATTTGCAGCTGTTACAGTAGAGTGACAAGTTTCCCCAACCCCAAAGGTCCCAACTCCATATAAAGTCACCCCACAACTTCACTTAGTAACCGCCGCAATTGTAACGCAAGCTCATGAACTTTGAATCTTCATAGCTTTCGCGTTCTTGCTCCGATTGAAGCGATTCTTGTTGCGTCGGAAAGATCTTCTCAAGATCTATCATCACAAATACCTGCTCAAACAAAAATAACACAGAACACATTCCCAAACTCCAGAACACACACCACACAAATGCTTGCACATTCAAACCACACATGCAAGTTGAAAACATGGGATGGGAGGCAGACAGAATGTGATAGCATATGATGACATCACACAACACATCTTCACAGCCGTCTCGTAAAAATCGGCTTCCTACAGCTGCCGCATGACCAAGGGATGTACCGACTGCAGAAGGGAAGAGAGTATGTTCTGCTCATCGTCTACGTCGACGACCTGCTCTACATCGGCTCAACTACCGACATCGCCACCTGGTTCGAAGGGGAGCTGAAAGAAGATTTAACTCTCACGGTGTCCGACGAAGTTACGCAGTACCTAGGACTGAACGTCGTCGAAGACGACACGGCGTTCTACCTACACGCTGGAAAGTACTCAAGCACCGTCGCGAAGAAATTCGCTCTAACACCGACTGCGGTCCCAACTCCCTACCGCTACGGGAACAACGGCAGCGCCTCTACAAAACTCCCCGCGAAACAAATCCAGGAGTATCAACAGAAGCTCGGCTGCCTACTATTCGCAGCAGTAACCTGCCGACCCGACCTATCCTATAGTGCGAGTCAGCTGGCGACACATCTGAAGCATCCGCAACAGGAAGATCTCGAAGAACTCAATCGAGCGCTACTCTACTTCGTCTCCACGCCGACGATCGGGCTTACCTACAGCAAGGCAACAACACCGTCCGTACGACTACTCGGATACGTCGACGCCGACCACGCGGGAGACAGCGAAAATCGACGGTCTAGGACGGGCTACATCTACCGACTAGAACCTATCGGAACTATCTCCTGGCAGTCGAGCAAGCAGGAGTTAATCGCACTATCCTCGGCTGAAGCAGAGTATATCGCCCTTTGTACTGCGACCAAGGAAGGACTCTACCTACGAGAGTTACTCGAAGAAGCGAAGATCGCGACCCTGCCCGCCTTCTCACTCCTCTGCGACAACCAATCTGCGATCAAAATCGCGAACAAGGACGGCTTCGCCAATCGAACCAAGCACATCGCCCTGCGGTACTTCTTCGTCAAGGATGAAATCGCGAAGGGGAGACTTCAACTCAGTTACTGCCCGACGACAGAAATGGCCGCAGATTATCTGACGAAGAAATTGGCGAAAGCAAAATTCGACTACTGCATGCTCCTAACCGGGCAAACAAACGCCACCGGATCTGAACACTCCAGCACTCCAGAAACGAAGGGGAGTGTTGGAAATATCTCAAGGACTTAAGCGTTTCTGAAGTGTAACACTGTACTCGAGGAAGATTACAGGGGAGCACGCGAGTCAACGGAGGTTACACGAGGGGGCGGACAAAGAATGCGAAAGGACTCGAAAGGTCGCAACTGGAGGTTGCGACTGACCGTTACAACATCACGGATGGTAACCGAAGCGGCAATCGAGTCGCTGTGCGACTCGATAAACCGTTCCTGTAACTGTATTCTACAACTGCTTTCTTATCTACTATATATTGCTGTATGCTTGTTTCTTTAATCAATCACTTGTTCTCACATACTAGTACAAGGGTTCAACTGCCTCAACTTCCGCTGCACTACTCCAAGTCTCAAGTCTTTACAGCTGGGACTTAGTCTCTGCAAAAGATCCTAAAGGGTTTTTCTCAGCCCAACAGACCATAACATGGCGCATATAAATAGGACTTGGTATGTGTGTCAAAACGTTTACTGTACACCATTTCCAAATAAACGTTTCCCACCTTGATCTTCTTGACCCTGAGCTATATAGTCGGTACTGTACCCGAACTGGCATATTTGGGTTGGGTTGGGTGAGACATAATTAAGGAACGTGTTTGTTGCCAATACCCACACTGAGATTGACCGCATGCCATGTTTTGGGCTGAGAATAGCCCTCGGATCTTTTTCAGAAGGCTAAGTCCTTGCAACAGAGTGCTTGATAACACAGCGGAACTCTTGAGTTGAACCCTTCTACTGGTACCGTATGTGAGAACACGTGATTGATTATAGCAAAGGGATACCGTACAAGGTTTCTATAATAATACAAGAGAATATGATGAGTCTAACTGTGTGTGCACTTCAAGGAGTACAGTTTTTACGACTCAAAAAGGTGACTCGGGTAACTCTTAGAGTAGCGGAATGATTAGCAACAAGGGTACAGTGTGGTTTTGACCTAATGAGTTCTACTCTCTAAGGCATGCCCCTATTTACACTACAGTAACATATACAAATATTTACACCCCCTAGACTGGACAAGGGGCAGTGCCTAGCAAGAGATCAGCAACTCAGGGCAGCTTATAAGTCCAACCTCTGAGACAAGGGTCCGAAGGCCAGACTGGAAGAGTACAAACTAGACAAAAGCAAACCAGGGCGGCACCTAGTCCGGCCACTGGAAGAAAAGCCACAAGGTCAGTTAAGAGGGTACATCTAAAAGAGTAGTACATAATCAAGGTCCTAGCAAGTGAGGAGCTACAGGAACTAGACCAAGCTGCACACAGTGCCACTGCTGATTTTTAGGCGCAAGCGCCTTAGTAAAGATATCAGTTGTGTTGGCACCGGAGGCCAAGTGTACGACGCGGGCCTGTCGGCGCTGTTATAGCTCGCGCAGGAGGAAGTACCGCAGCTGGATGTGCTTCGCCCTGCCCTCTAGTCAAGGCTCCTAACACAAAAGGATCACAGCCCTGTTGTCAGCGTACAGGACCGAGGCAGAGCTAGGCCGCTCACCTAAGTTTGTAAGCAAGAAGGTCAGCCAGCGGAGCTCATGTGCCGCCATGGCACCGGCGTAGATCTCAGCCTCACGGCTAGACTGGGCAACAGACGATGAGTGGCTGGACCTCCACGAGACGGCACCTGCACCAAAGCTAAAGCAGTAGCCCTGGGAGGACCTGAGTGTCTCAGCGTCGTCTGCCCACAAAGGGTCTGTGTGCCCTGTAAGGACCACTGGCATGTGTCCTCCGAGCACTATCCCCATGCCCGATGTACTTGTTAGATAACGCCAAACCCTCTTAGCGACCGACCAGTGCTATGGTCGGTGTCTGCCTGTCGCCACGAAGCGAGCCAGGATGCTGAGAGGGTATGCGAGATCTGGATGAGTGCAAGTCATCAGGTATATGAGGCAACCCATCAGCTCTGCGTAAGGACCACTAGGCTCTATAGACTCCCCAGGAACTGGAGCAGAGAGTCTGTGGTCTAATGGCAGGGGTGTGGGCTGTACGGAGGAGAACTGAAGACCGAAACTCTAAAGGACCTGGCGCACCAAGTGTGACAGTGTGAGAGTAATGGTGTGCGCTGCTCTGTCCCTGGAGATCTGCAGTCCAAGGTAGCGGTGCAG